TCTTTTCAATTTTGGTTTCTTCTGTGTACATGCCTAATAGTGGGATCTCTGCATCATATGGTTGTTTTATTCCTAATTTTTTGAGGAATCTCCATACTGACTTCCATGGTGGCCGTATCATTTTACATTCCCAACAAGAGTGCAAGAGGGTTCCTTTCTCTGCACAACCTCTCCAGGATTTAGGATTTTTTGATGATGGCCATTTTGACTGGTGTGAGGTGATATCTCATTGAACTTTTGATTTACTTTTGATGTACTTTTGATTTTGAGTGATGTTGAGCATCTTTTCATGCATTTATTAGCCATCTCTATGTCTTCTTTGAGAAATGTCTATTTAGGTCTTCTGCCCACATTTTTATTTGGTTGCTTTTTTTTTTAATATTGAGCTACTTGTATAAAATAGATAACTAATGTGAGCATATTGTATAGCACAGGGAACTCTACTCAGTACATTGTGGTGACCCGTTGAGGCTGTTCAATCACTCAGTTGTGTCTGTATCTTTGAGACCCCATGGACTGCACATGCCATCCTTGTCCTTCACCATCTACCAGAACTTGTCCAAATTGATGTCCATTGAGTAGGTGATGCCATCCAGCCATCTCATTATCTGTCATCTCATTCTTCCGCCTTCAATCTTTCCCAGCATCAGGGTCTTTTCCAATGAATCAGTCCTTTGCATCAGGTGGCCAAATTATTGGAGCTTCAGTTTCATAATCATCTTCATAATCCTTCAAATGAATATTTAGGGTTGATTTCTTTTAGGATTGACTGGTTTGATCTCTTTGCCATCCAAAAGACTCTAGAGTCTTCTCTAGCATCACAGTTCAAAGGCATCAATTCTTTGGCACTCTCACATCTGTACATGGCTACTGGAAAAACCATAGCTTTGACTACATGTACCTTTGTTAGCCAATTAGTGTCTCTGCTTTTTAACATGCTGTCTAGGTTTGTCATTGCTTTTCTTCCAAGATGCAAGTTCAGTTCAATTCAGTCATTCAGTCGTGTCCAACTCTTTGCGACTCCATGGACTGCAGCATGCCAGGACTCTCTGTTCATCACCAGCTCCCAGAGTGTGCTCAAACGCATGTCCATCCAGTTGGTGATGCCATCCCACCATCTCATCCTCTGTCATCCCCTTCTCCTCCTGCCCCCAATCCCTCCCAGCATCAGGGTCTTTCCCAATGAGTCAGTTCTTTGCATCAGGTGGCCAAAGTATTGGAGTTTCAGCTTCAGCATCAGTCCTTCCAATGAATACTCAGGATTGATTTCTGTTATGATTGACTGATTTGATCTCCTTGCAGTCAAAGGGACTCCCAAGAGTCTTCTCCAACACCACAGTTCAAAAGCATCAATTCTTTGGTGCTCAGCTTTCTTTATGGTCCAACTCTCACATCCATACCTGACTACTGGAAAAACAATAGCTTTGATTACATGGAACTTGGTTAGCAAAATAATGTCTCTGCTTTTTAATATGGTCCTTCTTCCAAGGAGCAAGAGTCTTTTCATTTCATGGCTGCAGTCACCATCTGCAGTGATTTTGGAGACCAAAAAAATAAAGTCTCTCACTGTTTCCATTGTTTTCCCATCTATTTGCCATGAGGTGATGGGACTGGAGGCCATGATCTTCATTTTTAAAATGTTGTGTTTTAAGTCAGCTTTTTAGCTCTTTGTTTTTAGTTTCATCAAGAGGCTTTTTAGTTCCTCTTTGCTTTCTGCCATAAGGGTGGTGTCATCTGCATATCTGATGTTATTGATATCTTTCCTGGCAATCTTGATTCCAGCTGTGCTTCATCCAGTCCAACATTTCTGATGATGTACTCTGTATATAAGTTAAATAAGCAGGGTGACAATATACAGCCTTGAGGTATTCCTTTCCCAATTTGGAACCAGTCTGTTGTTACATGTCCGGTTCTAATTGTTGCTTCTTGACCTGCATACAGATTTCCCAAGAGGCAGGTCAGGTGGTCTGGTATTCCCATTTCTTGAAGAATTTTCCACAGTTTGTTGTGATCCACACAGTCAAAGGCTTTGGCGAATTCAATAAAGCAGAAGTAGATGTTTTCCTGGAATTCTCTTACTTTTCTATGATCCAACCAATGTTGGTGATTTGATCTCTGGTTCCTCTGCCTCTTCTAAATCCAGCTTGAACATTTGGAAGTTCTCGGTTCACATACTGTTGAAGCTTAGATTGGAGAATTTTGAACATTACTTTTGCTAGCGTGTGAGATGAGTGCAATTGTGTAGTAGTTTGAACATTCTGTGGATTTTGTTTCTTTGGGATTGGAATGAAAACTGACCTTTTCCAGTCCTGTGGCCACTGCTGAGTTTTCCAAATTTGTTGGCATATTGAGTGCAGCACTTTCACAGCGCCATCTTTTAGGAATTGAAATAGCTCAGCTGGAATTCCATCACCTCCACTAGCTTTGTTCGTAGTGATGCTTTCTAAGGCCCACTTGATTTCTGATTTCAGGATGTCTGGCTCTAGATGAGTGATCACACCATCTTGGTTACCTGGGTCATGAAGATCTTTTTTGTATAGTTCCTCTGTGTATTCTTGCCACCTTCTCTTAATATCTTCTGCTTCTGCTAGGCCCATATGATTTCTGTCCTTTATTGTGCCCATCTTTGCATGAAATGTTCCCTTGGTATTTTTAATTTTCTTGAAAAGATCACTGGTGTTTACCATCCTGTTGTTTTACTCTATTTCTTTGCATTGTTTACTTAAAAAGGCTTTCTTATCTCTCCTTGCTATTCTCTGGAACTCTGCATTCTGGTGGGTGTATCTTTCCTTTTCTCTTTTGCCTTTTGCTTCTCTTCTTTTTTTCAGATGTTTGTAAGGCCTCCTCAGACAGCCATTTTCCTTTTGCATTTCTTTTTCTTGGGGATGGTTTTGATCACCACCTCCTGGGCAGTGTTATGAACCTCCATCCATAGTGGTGACTTGAATGGGAAGGAAATCCAAATGGGATGGTGTATATGTATAAATATGATTGATTTTTTTGCTGTACAGTAGAAACTAACACAGCACAAGTGTGTGGTCCCTTCAGTCATGTCCGACTCTGTGACCCTCTGAACTCTAGTTGACCATTTTCCTCTGTCCACAGGGATCCTCCAGACAAGAATACTGGAGTGGGCTGCCATGCCCTCCTCCAGGGGACCTTCCTGACCCAGGGATGGAACCCATGTCTGTTACGTCTCCCACATTGGCAGGCAGGTCTTTACCGCTAGTGGCACCTGGGTAGCCCAACAGAATATTGTAAAGCAACTTTACATCAGTAAGATTAATTAAAAATAAAATATCAAAACACAACCTGTTCAATGATTTCTTAGAATAAAATCCTAAGTCCATACTTTGGCCCATGGTTTCTACAAGATCTGGCTCTTGCTTCTCTCTCTGACCTCATTTTCCATCACTCTCTCTTGCTCCCACTTCACTTAAACACTGATTTCCTTCCAGTTCCTCCATCATGCCAAGCTCATTTCTTCCCTACACCTTTGCTCCCCTTTACTTAAAAAACTTTTTCTACAGACCTCTGAAGAACCACATCATTCAGAACTGTCTTACATCAGTCAGGAATGGCTCTCTATCTCAATATATTCTTGGCCCATATCTTTCCTTACTGTGATTTCTTTTACTCAAAATTGTATTATTTGTTTGTGAACTTGCTTATTTTCTTCTCAATTCTACTTTGAATTCCATTTAAAGAACCTCATTCATCTTGTATGTATTGATCTTTGTAATAGGGCTTGGTACCTGGTGAGTACTCATTACATTTTTGTAGAAAGAATGAATGGATGAATGATCATACATGGCAAAGGATTTAGATGGATCCCCAAATTCTAGAACCCTAACCCCCACCATGAGGGGAGATGCTTAGTGGCTCAGTTGTGTCTGACTCTTTGTGACCCTTTGGACTATAGCCAGCTACTGCCCTCTGTCCATGTGATTTTTCAGGCACGGTTGTTCAGGAAGTGGATTGCCACTTCCTCCTCGAGGGATCTTCCTGTTTCAGGGATTGAACTCGTGTCTCCTGCATTGCAGGCGGATTCTTTACTGCTGAGCTGCCCTGGTGACTCAGATGGTAAAGAATCTGCCTGCAATGCAGGAGACCCAGGTTCATTTCCTGAGTCAGGAAGATCTCCTGGAGAATTCCATTGGCAGAGGAGCCTGTTGGAACTGCGTAGCGTCAGTCACGACTGAACAACAAACACACACACAACCCAGATGCTAAGAACTCTGTTTAAACCCTTTATATCTCTGCACTAAAATTTGCCTAGCTCAGTTAGATTTTTATCAGGAATCTTAACTTGAACCTTTGTTTTACTGGTCACTGTTTGAGACTCGAGGCGTATCCTGGGTTTGTCTAAAAACATGAGGATGAGAGGCAGTGTCTGACAAGAGTCCTTTATGTAAGAAGAATGTATGGGGAAATCCACTTGGGAAAGTATTTAAAATGTTTTCATTGCTCAGATATGGAGAGGCCTGCATTTGTTTAAGAAGCTGATGATGTGGTCCATCAGAACCAGAGAAGACCTTTGACCCCAGATAAAGCCTTAGATTGCAGAGTGAAGTGAAGACCCCAAATAATAATCATGCCCACCATGACCACAGCAGAAGACACAGCCCATATTATATTCAGTGACCTGTGTGGAAGAAGAGCAGGAGTAGTCTGCTCTTGAATAAAGGTGATGGGGATTCCTAGAACTGAGGACTTTACACAGAGAAGAAACTTCTTTCTGCATCTAGGGGAGCCAAGAGCTTTGATAAAGTTGGTTTTAAAGGAGAAAAAAGTCAAATAATTTTCCACTATTAAAAAAAAAGTTGTTTGATGACACGATGGAGTTAATGAAGCAACTGCTTATGTATTAACTTCTGATGAGACATCCAGACTTATCTTATCTTGACTGTGGGAGCCTATGCCCTTATGCATTCTCAGAGACACAGGATCCACTGACCTGCAGGAGAAGCACAGGATTTTCTAGCTCTCTTTACAGAAGAATGAAACCTCTGCTTGGAACCTTTTACCTGTTGGGCATGCTGGTTCCTGGTTGGCTGGGATACGATAGGTGAGTATGAAGTGGAAGGAGGGGTGACTGGTATGATTTGGATTGTCTAAATGGAAAGCTTCTCTTCAAGATCTGTGCAGTTGAATTCTCCACTCTTCCTACCCATTACGCATACCACCATGAAATGAGAATAATAATGACTGAAATTTTATCATTGAGCTTTACTCTGTGTGTGTGTGTGTGTGTGTGTGTGTTAATCCCTCAGTTGTGTCTGGCTCTTTGCAACCCCATGGACTGTAGCTTGCCAAGCTACTCTGTCCATGGAATTCTCCAGGCAAGAATACTTTTCCAGGGGTTCTTCCCAACCCAGGAATCAAACTGAGTGTTACACTGCTGCTGCTGCTGCTGCTAAGTTACTTCAGTCGTGTCCAACCCCTTGCAACCCCGTGCATCGTAGCCCACCAGGCTCCTCTGTCCATGGGATTCTCCAGGCAAGAATACTGGAGTGAGCCATTCCCTTCTCTAGAGCATTAATCTAATACTCTTTAAATAAATATATAGATCTTCAACAAAGATTTCCTAGCACAGTATATGATAAATACCAATAGATATGTCATATTTTGTAATTGAAAAAAGAAAACTGTAATGAAAATTCTATATCCCTCATTTACATAATTTCTCCATTGATAAATCACATTATTCTAATTATTCAGAAAATGTTTCAAGTGTTTAAAACTACCAAACAACTTCACTAAGACATAATTACTGTTGATGTTTTTGAACAGATAGTGAGATAGCTAATTAAGCATATAGTACTACTGCAAACATTTTTCAGTTAAGTTGTCTTATACAAAATTTCTTATGGCATTCATAACTTATTGAAAGCATAATGCAATCACTAATAATATTCCATCATTGCTACCCTATAAGGCAGAGTGATTTCTACTGTCATTTTATACATAATGCTGTGATGCACATCCAGCCATATGATAATTTTTGTTGTTATTGTTGCAAATTTTTTATTATTTCCCTAATATAAGTTATAAGAAGTGGAATCACTGGGTTAGAAGCTGCAAAAAGCTCAAGAATCTTGCTACATATTGCCAAAGTGCCCTCTAGAAAAGCTGCATCGGTTTACACTTCCAACTACAGTGTATGAAAGCACTTTTTAAGCATTTTCCAATTTGACAAGTGAAAAATACCCACAGTTACTTATTTTTCATTTTGTTGATTTCTTATAAGGTTAAGTATTTTGTCTTATTTATTACTCATTTTATCAGTTTATAAATTGCTCATTCATGTCATTTGCCATTTTGTGTTCTTTCTCCACTCACAATGAATAAATTTTTGGAATATATAATATATATTAAACATTGTGTGTATGTGTATTTCCAACATTAAGTGTATTTTCCTTTATTAGTATTATGAACAGTTTATTATTCTGCACACTTAATATGTCTCATCATGCACATGGGGTCAGAAACAGTGTTTCCTCTTTAGTTTCATGTTTAATCTAATCCTACAGCAAACACGCTCTCACTGAGCAGAGAAATCCAGTCCAATTTTTGCCCCATATTAACCGTATGACCTCAGCTTGTCCCTCAGCTTCATAGACAGTCTGATTTCAGATACATAAAGGAAGTCCAGGATCTATGTGATACCTAAAGCTGTTTGGACATCACTATCTCATGTTTTCATTACTTTACTTGGGTTTCATATAGATACTGCATTTATCTTCTCTTCTGAGAGTCTTCATTCATAAATCATAGACAAAGACTTACGTATAACACAGGACTTTGATTGGAATAAAAAACTTGCTTAAAATATCACAAACCTTCAAACATACATATTCTTTTTTAATTTTTTCCATTTTTTTCCATTTATTTTTATTAGTTGGAGGCTAATTACTTTACCATATTGTAGTGGTTTTTGTCATACACTGACATGAATCAGCCATGGATTTACATGTATTCCTCATCCTAGTCCCTCCTGCCACCTCTCTCTCCACCCGATTCCTCTGGGTCTTGCCAGTGCACCAGGCCTGAGCACTTGTCTCATTCATTTGAATCAGTTCTAATGAGATGGATGAAACTGAAGCCCATTATACAGGGTGAAGTAAGCCAGAAAGATAAAGACCAATACAGTATACTAAAGCATATATATGGAATTTAGAAAGATGGTAATGATAACCCTAATATGCAAAACAAACATACATATTCTTTGAACTGGTATTCCTTCTTCTGTAAATTTATATTGAGAAAACAAACTATGGAAAGAATAATATGCACTGAGATATAGCTATATTTATAAGATAAACATGATATTAAATATTATAAAATTTGGAAACAACCTACGTGTCCCATATTAAGGTATGTAAATATTGATACATGACAGATGACAGTAGGATATTATTTATCCATTAGAATAATAACTATGAAAAAATTAATAGCATGGGAAAAGACATGTTTTATGCTAAAAGAAAGATGCAGAATACAAAATGTAATAAAAATACTTAAAAAAATAGAAGAAACCAGATATGTACCAAAATGGACACTGTTACCTTTGGCTGCTAATTCTTTTCCTTTTCCCTCAATTATTCTTCATTTTGCAAATATCTACAAAGTAAATACATAAAATTTTTATTTTAAAAATGATTGACAAGCCCAAGTTAAATTATGGAAATGATTTGGCTCAGATACGGGGAATTGGACAAGATGACTTCCAGTGCACAGCTCCTCATCCCAGCACTTGAGCAAAACATTTCAAATCTGCTAGTCCTGGTCCTTGTTGATGGGTTTCATTTTCATTATTATTTACTGACATATAATAACGTCCACTTTCATAAGGCTCTTACCAACGCAAAACATAGGTTAGCTGCCATTTTTGATCCTCCCTCTGTACTTTGTGATATAATCAGTTCAGTTCAGTTGCTCAGTTCTGTCCAACTCTTTGTGACCCCATTAACTGCAGCACGCCAGGCCTCCCTGTCCATCAGCAATGCCCGGAGTCCACGCAAACCCATGTCCATTGAGTTGGTGATGCCATCCAACCATCTCATCCTCTGTTGTCCCCTTCTTCTCCTGCCCTCAATCTTTCCCAGCATCAGGGTCTTTTCAAATCAGTCAGCTCTTCGCATCAGGTGCCCAAAGTACTGGCATTTCAGCTTCAACATCAGTCCTTCTAATGAACACCCAGGACTAATCTCCTTTAGGATGGACTGGTTGCATCTCCTTGCAGTCAAAGGGACTCTCAAGAGTCTTCTCCAACACCACAGTTCAAAAGCATCAATTCTGTGTTCAGCTTCCTTTATAGTCCAACTCTCACATCCATACATGACCACTGGAAAAACCATAGCCTTGACTAGACAGACCTTTGTTGGCAAAGTAATGTCTCTGCTTTTTAATATGCTGTCTAGGTTGGTCATAACTTTCCTTCCAAGGAGTAAGCGTCTTTTCATTTCATGGCTACAATCACCATCTGCAGTGATTTTGGAGCCCAGAAAAATAAAGTCAGCCACTGTTTCCACTGTTTCCCCATTTATTTGCCATGAAGTGATGGGACCGGATGCCATGATCTTGGTTTTCTGAATGTTGAGCTTTAAGCCAACTTTTTCACCCTCCTCTTTCACTTTCATCAAGAGGCTTTTTAGTTCCTCTTCACTTTCTGCCATAAGGGTGGTATCATCTACATATCTAAGGTTATTGATATTTCTCCTGGCAATCTTGATTCCAGCTTGTGTTTCATCCACCCCAGCATTTCTCATGATGTACTCTGCATATAAGTTAAATAAGCAGGGTGACAATATGCAGCCTTGACGTACTCCTTTTCCTATTTGGAACCAGTCTGTTGTTCCATGTCCAGTTCTAACTGTTGCTTCCTGACCTGCATACAGGTTTCTCAAGAGTCAGGTCAGGTGGTCTGGTATGCCCATCTCTTTCAGAATTTTCCACAGTTTATTGTGATCCACACAGTCAAATGCTTTGGCATAGTCAGTAAAGCAGAAATAGATGTTTTTCTGGAACTCTCTTGCTTTTTTGATGATCCAGCAGATGTTGGCAATTTCTGGTCTCTGGTTCCTCTGCCTTTTCTAAAACCAGCTTGAACATCTGATATAATAGTAGTCCAGAAAATCTACAATTAACAAGGATGACAAGCTTTGTAATCTTTCCCTTGATCATTTAGGGAGGTGGTCTATTATATATATTACATACTCCCAATATGTAGAATCATTTGGATCTAGCACTATGAATCAAGGATGGATGCTTCTGCATGCTCAGTCATGTCCAACTCTGTGACCCTTTGGACTGTAGCCCACCAGGCTCGTCTGTCCATGGAATTTTCTAGGTGAGGATACTGGAGTGGGTTTCCATGCCCTCCTCCAAGGGGTCTTTCCAACCCAGGGATTGAACCCCTATCTCTTACATGTCCTGCATTGACAGGCAGTTTCTTTACCATTAACACCACCTGGGAAGCTCCAGTAGTTATTGTCAAATACTATACAGTCAATAAAAATATTTATAATGAGTTTCTATTAGTTTGAGAAAATGTCTCTGGTAGAATATATAATAAAAAGAAGCAAATACAAAATTATATATAGAGATAATTTGCACTGTGTTTATGAAAAAATATTCACTGATAAAATCCTGAAGGGAAATATGTCAAAATATCAGCAGTGGTTAACTCAGGAAGATGGGAGGATTATTCCTTCCTTCTCTTTTCTATTTTTCTTCTCTCTGTACTTCCTAAATTTTCCACTTATAAGCAAATGTTAATTTTGTAAGAAAGAAAAAAAATTGAAAATACATTTCTGTCATGAAATATTCATGTAACTGTTTCCTAAGTATTTAAATACAAAATTTGCCTCAATATACATTAGGATTTTTCCCTCTTTCAACATTCCAAAAAAAATTTCATCAGACAATCTTTGATCTGCAGTATTTATTAATAATGTACCCCAAGAGATCATTTTCTCTGTTAAACATTTTATGAATTCCTAATCAAAAAGAATACACAACATTCAATAATCTTTTCATTTGATCGTGAGATGAGACTGGTGATAA